TTTCTATAGAAATTGTATTTTGAAAATCTGGTTTCGGTTTCTATAGAAACTGGATTTTGATGTTCCGGTTTCTATAGAAACCGGATTTTCGAGTTTCGGTTTCGCTCCTTTTTAAATTTTTTCTACTCTACGATCTTTATGCGTATTTAGGTATTAAACTTGCTCCTTTTTATAATTTGTCCATAAACCATTAAACAATTTTAACCTTTAAATTTGAAGATTTAGCATTCATAATTTAAAATTTACAAAATTTATCTTCATGTAATGATTTTATAAAAATATCAACTAATTATAAATTAACATCAATAAATTAATGTCTGCATCATCTTTTGAAAAATGATGTCTAACCCTCAATATGTTTCGTTTACGAATGTTGAATTGGATATTTTGATAAGCTTATAAACTAATATTATCAGAGACTTAATAGGAATGTGTTCTAACTTTATTCTATAATCTTTTAATGATAGTTTTAACCAATGCACCTATGCAACGTAGCTTTCTACAACAATAAATTTAATCTCTTATATTTACTATGGATAAAGACTTGGTTAGAAAATATTAGAAATGACATTTTTTTATTAGATTTAAATGAGAATTTGACTCTTAATAGGACAATGGAGAAAAAGGATTCATGTAGCCGACCCCACGTAGTGGGATAAAGGCTTGATATTGTTATATTGAACTAAGTCACAAGTGATGAGCACAAAATTTGATGTGTAATAGAGATATTGTTCAAATTGACTTTGCAATATATATAACTAACATCAAAATAAGCAATTTAAGCCATAAGCTATTGAATTTTTCAAATACCTCAAATCTAAACTAGAGTTTCTATCAAATAGTAAAAAAATTATTTTATTGTAGCTATGAGACTCTCTGGGATTGACTTGAAAATGATTACAAATACGTGCAACTAACATAATATTAGGCATAATTATACTAACGTGTAATGGGAAACCATCATATTCCTCTCTCTCTCTCTCTCTCTCTATATATATATATATATAACTTATTGTCTACAGTATCTAGATCCAATTTGGTGTTCTCACGCATAAGGGTCTTATTTGATTTAAACTTCTTCACATCAAAACTTTTGATCAATTAATTTATATATTTAGTTTGATATATAGTCTTATTGTTTCACTTAAAGTCCCAAGAAAAGGTGAGTTCTTGCTTCATGCTTATTTCAAATTCCTCACAAATAATTGATGAGAACTCCTGATATAAAGTGCATTTGTGCTTCCAAATAATATATCACCTGCATAAATTTGAATAATAATGATGCATCTCTTAGTTTCTTAATAAATAGGATGGTATCCACTCAACTCATTAAATTCATTATAATTAAAAATGTGCTTAATCTATTGAACCATCCCTTATGAACCTGTTTCAAGCTATGCAAATATTTCTTCAATTTAAATATATGATCTGGAGTATCAACGCTTTTAAAAGTGGTGGTTGCTCTACAAATATATCTTGATAAGTAAATCTATTCAAGAATACAATTTTAACATCAATTTGACAAAGTTTGAAATCCTTAATATACACATGTACAAGGAGCAACCTTATTTTATTTTAGTATTTTTATTGGTGCAAAAATTCTTTAAAAGTTAGTACTTCTAGTTGTGAGTACCCTTATGTAACTAATCTAGCCTTGTTTCTATTAATGCTACATAGGCATATAAGTTATTTCTAAAGACTTATTTAGTTTTCATAACATTTTGATCATGGGATTTATAAATTAATTTCCAAACATTATTCCTGCAAAAGTTATTACAACAATCTATAAATTTTCTTTCAAAGCTCATCAAGAATTTTGTTTCTATCTCCAAGATGAATGCAGAATGATCTATCTACTCAATTGCATATCTTTTAGTTCTTATGATTTGGGAAGTATCACCTGTGATTAATTCCTTTATATGGTTCTTAGCATACTTCATTACCTCATTACCTTTATTTAGTAGTCATCTTTCTCATCTTCCAAAGTTATTTTAATTATTCCTTCTATGCCTTCATCAGTAAGATTATTTCTTGTTGGAAAGTCAAATTCTTATTAAAGATAATATATTCTATCTTCTGCAATCATTTTTCTCTTGTTAAATATTTGATAAGTTCTACGAGTACTAGAATAATTAAGAAGTATTTCATCATTCCATTTACCATCAAATTTACCTAACTGTTCTTTCTATTATTCAAGATATAGCATTTGTATCCAAATTCATGTAAATGTCTCTTTTTTGTGTTTCGTTTATCAATATAACTTATATGTGGTCAATTAAGAATGTTTCTTAGATTCACCCTATGTATTACAGAGCAAGTTGTGTCAAGTATGCTAAAAATATTTATTGAATTTATGTTTATCAATTATAGTTCTTGCTGATTATATTAAGGTCTGATTCTTTCTTTCCATAACTCCGTTATGCTAGAGAGTTCTAGCTATAGAGAAGTTATGCCTAATTCTATTCTTATCACAATAATATTCAAATAATTTATTTTTAAATTCTTCCTCTGTGATCATTTTGAATCTTTAAAATTAAATATGCTAGTACTATTTGTTTGTATTTAGCAAATTTTCTAAATCTTCAGATACATTATTCTTGGTTGCTATGAAATAAAACCCTAATTGTTTATTGAATAATTATTCATTATCACAAATTCATAATTATTTCATCCTAACTTAGTAGCACTAAATGAGCTTAATACATCCATTAATGATTCTAATGATTTAGATGTGGTAACTATGCTCTTACTAGACCTGTCAATTTCGGGTTACGGGTAGGGTTCGGGTCGAACCCGAAACTGACCCGGCACTATCCGGGTTCGGGTTGACCCGACTCGGTTTTGCAAACGGGTCAATTTTCTGGACCCGAACCCGACCCCCTTTGGGTTCGGGTCAACCCGACCCGACCCGCAGATGCCGCGAACGCGACTTGGCCTTTGGACGCCGACGCGGATTTGCAGAACGGCGGACGCCGGCGATGCGGAACTACACGGAACTGATCTGGGCCGCCTGGCCTCGCTTCCTCGGGACGCTACGCGGCAAAGCACGCGGAACTGGCCAGTCTGGCCTAGCCTCGGGACGGCGCAGAACTGGGTCTGGCCTGGCTTCGGGTGTCAGGACGACGGGACTCGCCGACTCGGCGCGGAACTATCTTGGCCAGTTGGCCTCGGGACCGGCCTTTGACGCGTCCGGGCAGGCGGGGCAGCCAGGAAGCGGGTCATTCCGGGCATGGGTTTTGTGCATTCCGGGTTATTCCCGGGTTCCCGGGTCAACCCGAACCCGACCCACTTCAGGTTCGGGTCAACCCAAACCCGAAATTTTCGGGTCGGGTCCAATATTGACAGGTCTAGCTCTTACTATTAAATGATTTCATAGAATGCTTATTATGCATGCAAACATCGTAAACTTGATCAAAATCATAATCAATCTTAGGAAGAACAATAACTAAATCTAGTTTTGAAATATTTTTAAACTTGTTCATGCTTGCATGACCTAAGCATTCTATGCTATAACCCAAAATCAGAATGCATGGTTTGAAATACACTATCAATTTTATCAATATCTATGACTAACTAGTAAAATATTTCTGTTATTTCTTATTATGCAATGTGATGAATGTAAAGTAATGTCAAAACAATTATCGGACAATTGACTATTATAAATCAAGTTATATTTTAAGCCTAAAACTAAAAGGATATTGTCAATAGTCAAGGAGTTATTATTTATCATTTTATAGGTAAAAAATGTTTTGGATCTAATGGTAATAAAATCACCCCATGTAGTTGGATAAAAGTTTAATGTTGTTTTTATTGTTGGCAATAAAATTAGAAGATAATTTTACTTAATTAAAATAATTATATATTTGATTTCAAAATAAATATTATTGAAGCTTGCTTAGCAAAAAAAAAAGTATTTAATGATTAATTTGACATGAGAACTTTTGCTAAAGATTATTTTAACTATATTAAATTCTATAAGATGGTAGTGAGGCCTGCAATGCTTTATGGTGCCGAATGTTGGCCATTAAAAGAGAAGCATAATACTAAGTTAAGTGTGGCAGAGATGAGAATGCTCAGGTGGATGAGTGGCTTTACCCTTAGAGATAGGATACGAAATGAGCATATACGTGAAAAGGTTGGAGTAGCTCCAGTAGAAGATAAAATTAGAGAGAGTCGCCTTAGATGGTTTGGTCACATAAAACGACGGCCTTTCGATGACCCAGTTAGGAGAGTAGAGGTATTAGATTTGACTTATGTTAAGAAAGGTAGGGGTAGACCTAAAAAGACTTGGTTAGAAAATATTAGGAATGAACTTTCTTTATTAGGTTTAAATGAGAATTTGACTTTTAATAGAACACAATGGAGAAAAAGGATTCATGTAGCCGACCCCACGTAGTGGGATAAAGGCTTGATGTTGTTGTTGTTGTTGTTGTCAAGCTATTTAGAACATTAAAAGTAATTTTTGAATAATTCAGTATATTTTAATAGATTAGTTTCCCAGGGAGCTTTGGCCAAAGGATCGATTAAATTGCTATTCACATAACTAAGTATCCTAATGACTATAATGGCATAAACATTGCTAATTGAGCTTCACTCTTGTTCTGGAGCCTATCTTTAGCATCCTCCATTTTCCAAATGAGTTGACATCTTGCATCAAAATCAGTGTTAATTCTCAAACCTGAAATCACTAAATAGTAATTTATACCTTCAATTATATGTTTTTTGTAATCAAAATAAGCTTATATATGTCTTGAGCTCTTGGGGTCCACAGCATTCTCCTCTTTATTGGGATTGATCCTTAGGCTTCATTTGGGACGGCTTTTTTATTGCTTCTTAAAACAGATTTCTAGTTTAAAAATTAAATTTTTTTACAAACAAGCTGCCTTAAGAAACAGTAAGAAAGCTGTCTTAAATGAAGCCTTAATCAGTCCTTTATAGCTTCATTTATTTTTTCACCATAGACCTTAATTTTTTTCCTACCTCATGCTTCATTCTGGTAGGATCTTCCTAGAACATTTCCAACTCATCCCTGGTTGGACACTCCAGAAGGGCAAGCAACCCTCCGACGTGTCCTTGTTGGTTATTCTTTTCGAGATTCTGAAGTCGGATATTGTCAGGTAATGAAATTTATAGAATTCATTTCCTTAATTATCTTTACTAGGGATCGCCATTGGCTGAATGTTAAGCTCCTTAGTTTTATAATATTGTAGGGTTTGAACTATGTGGCCGCATTGCTGCTATTAGTAATGAAAACCGAAGAGGATGCCTTTTGGATGCTTGCTGTCCTCCTTGAAAATGTCTTGGTGAATGATTGCTACACTGATAACCTCTCTGGATGTCATGTTGAGCAGAGGGTGTTCAAAGATTTGCTTGTTAAAAAATGTCCAAGGTTAATTTATTACCTATCCTTTATTTCATGGTCCTCTCAGAATTTTTTTTTTTTTTTTTGCAAAAGTTTTGCTTATAGTAAATATTTTATATGTATTTTCATGGTTCAAATAAAAGCAGGATTGCAGCACATTTGGAGGCTATGGGATTTGATGTATCGCTAGTCGTTACTGAGTGGTTTTTGTGCCTTTTCTCCAAATGTTTGCCCTCAGAGGTTAGATCCAGTTATATAATATCAGAAACTTACAATTTTTTTTCATCATATTAGAATTTATAATTCAGATGCATTTTGTTTCAAATTCCTCATATTTTGGATTACTAGAAGTTGTAAGGACTCGTCAGTGTTCCCTTGCTCCACTTTTAGATATCAAACTAATGAAATCCTCATGTAACATCGTTAACTCTAAATAAGCTTGACTAGTTATAATTCATTTTGCCTTAATTTAACTGTCTTTACGTTAAGTAGTAGTTCTGTTTCAAATAGCCTCATTCTCCTTTTTAATATTTTGACAATATGCAAACTTAATTTTGATGGAGAAATCATGACTCACGAATGTAGTTATAAGAGGAGGATTTGTTGTAAATTGGGTAATGGTTAACACTCAAGAACCTTTTACTTCTAGGGTTGTCTGAACATTGGCTACAACACTGAAATCTTTATTTACACAGCTCACCTTAGTCTATTGTTTGAGAGCTTAGGCTATCAACTAAGAGGTCTTGTGTTTGAGTCTTTGTGTATGCTTTGTGTGTGTGCCTTAATTGACCTAAATGTCCCAAAAAAAAAAAAAAAACACAAATCTTTATTTGATTCATTCACGTGTCTTCAAAATGAAATAAATCAAACACAAAGTTTTAATATAACTTAAAACTCAATTCTGATAATTATATATTGTTGATCTAATCTAATTTTAATGATGAAAAGTACAAATTGATGCGACTTGAATGGAAATCTAGTTGGCTCTTCGTCAGACCCAAGTCACCCAATTATTTATAGGTTCAAGTCGAGGTTCAATGTTACATGAATGAGTATATTTGAGTAATATGAGCTAAATATAGCAAGGCTTAACAATGTTGTTTTAATAGTATAGTTTATAATTATCCGAATACTTCGGTAACTCTTGATTTGTCCAATTGCCGAGACTAGCTCACTTGAGGAAAGAGTTTGCTTTGTCGAACTCTCTAGAGAGTTCTGGAATGAGCTACCCTGACGAGATTAGTAGCGAGTTCTCTAGCGAGTTTCATCTTTTTAGTGGTATCATTTAAGTGACTGATAGAAAGTTCTTGTCGACTTGCTAAACACAATTTATGATGTTGACATGATAAATTTGACTTAGAAGACATTGGGTATACAACAATAGAGTTCAGTAATTGATGGTAACAAATCATAATGTTAATATGATCTCAAACTTCATCATTAAATATTGTTTTCCATCAATTTACTTACATGGATGACATATAATCAAACTAATTCTTTTCATTCTTGAATAAATTTGAAGACAACCATGCGGGTTTGGGATGTCCTTTTCAATGAGGGAGCAAAGGTTCTTTTCCAGGTGGCTCTAGCAATCTTCAAGGTGCACTTATCCTCCTCCATGGTTTTCTCTTCTCCTTGTTTCGTTTTTTTTTCTATTATTCTTGCATGAGATTTAGGCTTCGTTTGGGATGGCTTTCTTACACTTAAAGTAGCTTTTTAGTAAAAAAAAAAATTTTCTACTAGAAAGCTGCTTTAAAAAGCAGAAAGAAAGCTGTCCCAAACGAAGCCTTAGTTTATAAATGAAAAAGATCATTTGTTTTCTACTATGACAGTTCAAAAATCCAAATGGTTTTTATACAATCAGCCTATCACTAAATTAAACAGCCTTATGACAGATGAAGGAAGAGGAGTTGCTGACAGCACATCAAATTGGAGATGCTATTAACATCCTGCAAACCGCCAGCCATCATCTCTATGACCCAGATGAATTATTAACGGTAAAGTTTCCTCATTGTATCACAATTTATCATCTTGGTGACATTTTTGGTGCCCCAGTTCATCATTTGAACTTTTAATACTGAATTAGCGGCGCTGTTCTTATTGTGTTTTTAAGAGCAAAGTCAATCTGTTCTTTGCATTACCAATTTTTTTGCCAGTCTCTGTAAAAGAAAGAGCAATTTTTATGAAAGTCCTCCATAGATTGGCCTACTGGTAAAGATTTGGAATAACTTTGGTAAATTACTTGGATAGATGATACCCTAGTGATTCATTAAAGCCAATCTATGGAGTTTTGAGAGTCTTTGTTGATGAAAGAAGTTGAAAACTTGCATGCTTATTTACAAAAATTGAAAAATATTCCCTAAGTATAAGGAATTTTATACAAATTTCCCCTTATAAAATCATTGGTTTTTATTAAGAATGCAAAGTCTAATGTATTATTTCCTTATTTTTACTGGGGCAGGTGTGTTTTGATAAGATTGGCTCCTTGACGACCAACGCCATAACCAAACAGAGGAAAAAGCAAGAACCAACTGTCTTGGCTGAACTCGATCAAAGATTGAGAAGGCTTAATTCTGTGAAACTAAATGATGAACAGTGATTAAATATGGAGAGAGAGAGATTATCTTTAATTGGCATGTTATATATTGGTGTAATCAGCTTTCACAAATATCCTAACAATGGCATGGTTAACAGCCAGATTTGTAAGTTTTTTTTTTTTTTTCTTGCAATTTATGTCATCAGAACAGTGTAAGAAACATTATATAGCAGATCATTATAGTCTTGAAAGCAATTTGATTACAGATACAGCATATCTGTTGAGTTAGTAAATTTCTTCTAGCATAGCTGTACTGTTAGTGAAGATGTTTTGGATACATTACAGCAACGACAGAGAGTAAGAAAGCAGAAAAAACGTATTGTATTGTATATATATTCAGCTATTACATGTGGTATGGTGAAAGAATATAAAGAAGAAAAAGGGAACAATCTCTGTCTAGTAACTGATGCTTCAGGAATTGCAGTGGAGATGTCATAGGGGCGGAGCTTGAAATTTTTATTAGTGTGGACACAAATAGATAATATTCAAATTACTCATAAACATCGTCGGGTGTTTTTTTTTTTTTCCATATTTAATAGTTTATATAGTTTATAGTGATGTAATATTTTGATCTTTAAAAAATATTAATATTTTTTTTAATAATTTTTCAAAATTGATGATCTATTAGTTGTATTCAACATAAATTTATAATTACTTTATTTTAATTTTAATATTTAGGCACTTGTATAAAAAAATTAATACATAAATGAATATTTAAGATTGGATTTAATTATAATATAAATATAAAATAGTAAGAGAAGCAACAAATACTCAATTACTTAGTTGGTGGTGTTGATTCATCTAAAGCTAGAGAGAGTTGAATTGGAATCCCAACCCCTTTGTTATAGGTTATTGTTGTATGTTGTTATGGTTTTGTTTTGGGCTTTGTGTTGGTTATGTATAGGTTAGATTCTAGGCTTTCTACTGGTTATGTATGGACCAATTTTGTTGTGGGCTCTGTTATATGTTAAAGGGCCAATAGGGGCCAATGCTCCCATGCCCCCCACGATAGCTCAAAGTGATATAAGAGGTAGTTGTGATGTAACAAGGTAAGTGTTTTTGAGGTAGAAAAGCTTAGATGGATGCTTAGTTATTCTATCATGTGAGGGCTTGTCATCGCCCTACAAATTGTTTTTCTAAGTCTTGGAGTGTCAATTTGTGACGCATTTGTTCAAACTGGAATGAGGAGAGAGTCTGGTGAAGATGTCTTCTAGCTGATTATGAGAGTCAATGTAAAGCATGGTGCTTTCATTAGAGCGAATGTGATCTTGAATGAAATGATAATTAATCTTTATGAATTGAATGCGGGCATGAAATATGGGATTGTTAGCTAAATACATGATTGAGGTGTTATCACAGATGAGAGAAGTGGCGTTAGGATTGGAAATATGGGACTTATGTAAGAGACAACAAAGCCACACTATGTCGGAGGCAGCAGAGGCAAGAGCTTAATGTTTGGCCTTTATGAATGATTTGGGGACAGTTGGTTACTTTTTGATACTCTAGGAAATAAGAGGTGTTATTAACAATATGCAATAACTAGTGAATTTGTGATATGTATGATCAGATGCCTAATCAGAGATCAAATAGAAATGAAGAATAAGATCTCCTTTGGTGATTGGCAGGCCAATATTGATGGTCCCTTTGATGTATGAATTGGTAAAGTTGAATAGTAGTGGAAGCAATGTTCCAATGGGTGATAGCCAAGTATTGCAGAGAGCCGACAATTCTGTGAAAGAGGTTTAAGTCGGTGAAAAAAATGATTCCATTATATTTATCAGGAGATTTGAGAGATAGAGAAGGGGTTGATATGCAATAAGCAATTGAAATTTTTATAGGAAGTCATGGGCTTATTTTGTTTTGTTGTTGTAAATATCTAAAAGATGTGTAGGTGACTTGATTGTCAAGGAATAAAGGATAAAAACCTATTGATTTTAAAGATAATTGATTTTGCAAGATTGATGATAGTCGTGATTGTGTCAAGGTGGTTGTTGATAATGAGACTTGCATCAATGTAAATAAGGTTGTAAATGTATGTGGACTTGTTGGTGTAGAGCAATAAGAAAGATTCAGATTTATTGAATTTGAAACTGTAGTTGAGAAGGAAGTTGGAGAAGGTTAGAAATCATTTTTTTGGCACCTATGTTATGTTAAAAATGGCTTTGCAGATGTGTAGGGTGTTGGGAGTTGATAAAGTCGGAAGGTTGAGACATATAAACAACCTTGTCAACTGAGCCATGGAGAAATGCATTGGAGATGTCAAGCTAAAGAACAAACCACTGATGGTGAAGGGAAACAATGAGAAGGTTTCTCATGGTCGACATATTGGTGATAGGATTGAATGTTTCAAAGTAGTCAATATTGTATTATTGCTTAAAGCCTTGAGCAACTAAACAAGTTTTATAATGATCAATAGTTTCATTGGCAAGGATTTATTTATTTGAAGACTATGGAATGAGGGTCCATGTACCTTAGCGCTAGACTGCAGTAAATTCGACCGACATGGCACCTATACCATACTGGAATTTTGGAGGCTTGGGAATGAGAAGTGGGGGTAATACTGGGGTGATGAATGGTGTAAAGGATGAACAGCTATTTAGGTTTTAGATGACCTATTTTAAGAAAGAGTGTCAATGGGGTGAATGTTGAGTGGAATCAAAGATATGGCGGGTTGTAGAGAATAAAGATATGAAGTTGCAGGAGAGGTTGGGGGGCAGGTATTGAGGGGAATTCAATCAATGTTATGAGGAAGAACTTGCAGATAAAATTGAGGTATATGTGGGAGAGGGTTGAGAAGAATTTGGTGTAGGTGTTGACCTCAATATAAATGTCATAATCAATATAAGTGAAGGCTGAGATCGACAATAAATGGACATGATGTCATATGTAGCGAGCTCAAAACACCTCGACATTGCATGGAATCACTCGGACATTATACATTCGTGTCAATTTGTCTAAAATGTCATACTTATCATAGAGGCATAGCTCGTGTGCAAATTAACCCAATCAAGGAATAAGGAACACAATGATTGTTAAGCATGGTGCTGCACAAAATTGTCAAATGACGTTAGATTGTGAAACGGGCCGCATCGTTGTACCAACAACATTAAATTTATCTAGGGGAGGACCTCTTATGATTAATTTGAGTGAGCATGATAAAAAAATGAAAAACTACGAGCAGGCATTGCATGAAATCGATATAAAGCTGTCTATTTATAAAACAGACTTCATCACTGCATTTAGAACATAAAAAAGCTCGTATATGATACTCATATTGCCTATGTAATCGCATGAGTTGAAAATAAAAATTTGCTCATGTGTTAGGCGATGAAATGCAAAACGAGACACTAAAAAAATGAGAAATCATGCAAGGTTGATTCAGGTTTATTTTATCTATTTTTAATCTATGTGTGTACGTATCATGTTTACGCGAAACCATTTCCCGTGCCTCTGACCCATCTCCTTTAACTCATGCATGAGCCCTCTTACTTTCTCTCTCTGATACATATCTCATTCTCATGCTCTTGACACTAAACCCCTTTCTTGATTGCAGCAGCAACTCTACAACACATATCCACTCCCATACTTCTTTAACTTACAGTAGCTTTGGTTAACTTCCTTCAACTTAACAACCCCAACTTCCTTTATGGAATCGCCCGTCTCCTCTACACATAACCTCCTCATCTCACAATCACCTTTTCGCTGAACTCATCATCAATTTTTAATTTCCTCTCCTTCTCCTACAATCTCCGACTAACCAGCCACCTCTCTCTGTGTTTGATAACCTATCACAGCTCTCCAACTCCGAGGACAACCCCCTTGCAACTCCCGTCTCTAGGCACACTACTAAAAATATGTCTTTTTGATATTTGGGGTTGTTTTAAAATAGTTTCCAAATCCACCATTTAGTAGTGGTTTAAACTGCAAAAAACTAATGGTGGTTTTAACCGATGCAAGTAGCACCGGTTTTGACCTCTACCAAAATTCTCCATTATCTTATACACCACTCAACGTTTCGGCTAGCGCTAATTCTTCATTCGTTTGCTGCCTGGTAGATCAGAGAGTTTCCTTTTTATTCTTCATGCACTTGTTGCCTGCTATCTTAGCGCGATGCTTGCCCTAATTTCTTCCTCTTCTTCGTTTCATTGGAGTTTCCTTTTCGATTCGTGCACTCCATACCTTCGATCGGAGGAGCAAAGTTCTGTCAAAGCACTCGTCTGCTCGCTCATCCGGATAATCGATCGCGAGCTACTTCTTCCTCTTCTTTATCGGTTTTTGTTTCATTCCTATTCTTGTGTAGCTTTGTGGATTCATCCCTATGCTTGTGCACTTTTCATTCCTAGATATAAACATTTTATTCAATGGTTGCAAAGGATGTTTGTTGGTTTTGCAAATTATTAGGTTTTCTATGCTGTTGGAATTTTTCTTTCCTGATATGGTTCTCTTTGTTAGATGATTTGATTTTCAAAAGCATGTATAATTTTATTTTATTCTCTACATGGGCATTGTAGATCTTTGACTAATTAATATTTCTAGTTTAGTACGTACTTAATCATTAAGTTTTTCTTTTATTATCATTCTATTATGTTAATAACTTCATCCCATTATGCTAATAACTTCATTGTTTCTATGTGTATCTACCCTACAATGTTAAGCCTAATTAAAAAAAACAAGGCTTTCATACTAATTATTGGATGATTATGACACCCTAAGATGGAGCAAATTGGAATTAAAAATTTTTGTTATATTTTTAAAGCTAATTAGCAAGACTATAAACTAGCGTATAGTTTTAAAAGCTTGTAGTTAATATAAATGATAAAGTAACAAAACTGTAATTTAAAAAAAAAAAAGCAAACATAATATTTTTATTTAGTATGGCTCATATAACTGATGTGGAACCCGGAGTGCATAAAGAGAAGAGATTGTAAGTATGTGTTATGTTAGCCATTTTTATTTGCTTAATTAAATGGATAAGTTGGATGGGTATGGCCAGCCTTTACATGAGGAGTTATGGGGAGCCATTTTGGTAAAGGGGAAGAGTTATGGAAGTTACAAAATGGTTACACTAGCTGCAAGCTACCTTGCTTCGCTTTTTAAAATTTTAAATTTCTCTCTCATGT